GGTACCGCCACCAATGGCGAGCCTTGAACGAGAGCGGGGCACGCACTTCGATAGGAAATCTGCTATCTGGGCAGGTCAGGAGTACAGTAGGTCGCGGTCTTTACTATCTGCATCACCAGCTTGTAAACTACTGATGTCTCTGTCATAGGACGATAGGCGTATATACCAGCTTTGTCTCCCTTGCCTTTATATATTATGTTCATCTTACTTATTTTATACCTATTGGGGGCTTTATCATACACTATTGCTTCGCTCGCTGCCGCTCTTAATGTTTGCTTAGAGTTTCGTCCTAGTTTCTTTATTAGCATAATTGGAATGCCGTAAAGGCCTGTTGACGTGTTTTTAGGAACCGTTCTCTCTGCACTTTTCCACTCTCGTTGCCCCAGTATAGCCACTGCACTAACTGGTGCGGAGAAGGGTAATTATCTGCCTCGCGAGTGCTTTGAAGACGCCGCTGCTACGTAATCTCCACAGTCGCTCCCGAGAAAGGAACCAAGTCGGTTTCGAAACGTCACGTTTCTTCAAAACTTTTGGTTGAAGTCTAAATCATCTCCCAGCTTCATACCCAACTAGACTTCTGTCGAGTGTTTACATTTAAGGGTGGAAGCCTTTACAGAACATTTTCACATTTTCAGCCGTTTCCTCCACCTCTCCACGCGCACAGCATATTGTGTCTATGCCTTCGTATTTGGCTCGGTACGTCTTGGTCTCCTATACTCCCGTTCTGGCCTCGAACAGCCGAAAACTACCCTGAGACTCATCGTAAATGTTTTCTTTTGCATTTTCTTGCTTGGAAGTTGGGTAGGTCTTCAGTGATGATTTCGTAAGTATTCCAATCTTCCACAAGACCCTGTCTGTTTCCTTCACCTTCTTCTCAACCGATGTTTTCTTTTGGCTTGGTAATATGCTGTTGTCTAAATACTTGCTCGACAATTTTTCAGTTCGCTTCCTCCATTTAGTATCAACAATCTTCATGTAAAAGTAGCAGGAAACTTTCTTAGCCCAACGCTCCTCTACCATTCTTCTCAATCGCTCCTCTAATTCCAACATGCTGCTAGCTTCTCTGCACTCAAACGATGTCCATTCATTGTCACCCTGCACCCAATAGTTTGGTGTATTCCCATGTGTTACCAAAGCGATTCTACCTACAATACCTTGTTTACTTTCAAATCTTGCTTGAACTTCTGATTTTATGCACAAGACCGCAATGCCGAATGTCAAACCTGGGAACATGACACCTTTCCAAATCCCTCTCACAACATCATACCTAATGTAGTTCCACAGTGCCCTATTTTTTATCACAGCTGCATTCCTGGTTCTCTCAGTCATTACGTATCTTTCGTGCTCCCTTAGATACTCAGCCCCGTTATTTATCCATACGCCCAAGTATTTGAATTTATCCACTATTTCTAGCGTGACTTCCTGTATCTTTGGCCCACTGCCTTGATTATCATTCGAAATGATGATTGCTTATTTGTCCCTGCTGAACTTCAAATTTAACCTATCTCCTTTTTTACCCCAGATGTCTATCAATGCCGGCAGATATTTCTTGTTGTCGGCTAATACTACTTTATCATCTGGATGCATCACTGCTGGCAATGATTGTTGAATGTGTTTTCCTTGCTTGGCGAAACAGAGGCTGAATCCGAATTGACTCTCCTCTAATTAGGATTCTAGTTCTTGGAGATACAGCATAAATAACAAAGGCAACAAGGGACATTCCTGTCGATGACCGCATTGTATCTGCATAGGTTTAGATACCAGTTCTTCCGATTTGATAACTACCTTGTTACTTTTATAGATGTCCTTTAGAAGATCAGTTATTTCATCTTCCACATAAAGTGTGTCCAGTATTCCCTACAAGTATTCTTGAATCACACTATCGTAAGCTCCCTGGATATCTAAAAATGCCAGCCACAGGGGCCTGTGCACTTGTTTCGCTATTTCAATACACTGCATCAATGAAAACAGATTGTCCTCCAATTTCTTTTGTTTACGAAACCCATTTAGTAGTTCTTACAGCACCCGCTCATTTTTCATCCTGTCTTTAGTCTTTACTATCTGCATCACCAGCCTGTAAACTACTGATGTCACTGCTATAGGACGTTAGTTGTTTATATCGGCTTTGTCCCTCTTTCCTTTATAGATCACGCTCATCCTGCTCAATTTCCACCCATTGGGAGCTTCACCATTAAATAATGCTTTTTTCGCTGCCTCACTTATTGGTTGCTTAGAGCTTAGTCCTAGTTTCTTTATTAGCATGATTGGGATGCTTTCAGGGCCTGTTGATATGCAATTAGTAAATTTTTCACTGCCCTTTCCCACTCTCGTTTTCCTAATAGAGCCACTGAGCTAATTGGTTCATCCTCATCTAGTACGGTGAATGCAGCGCTTTCTTAGTGTTTAAATTTTTCCGTCACAATTGTTTTTATATATTCTATTGTCTCATCCCCTTCTAGTTTGACCCCTTCAACTTTTAAACCCCCACTTCAAGCTTGTCTCATTGCTCAGAGAATTGAGGTGATTTCAAAACTTTGCTGCAGCCTTTCTATCCTTTTTGTCTATTGCCTACAACCAACTGATCAGCGCTGGTTGAGGCCACGGCTGGAAGCTCTCAAGTTTTCAATGGAACGGGGTCATCTTTTGACAATTAAAACTTGTAGAGGGGGACATGCCAAAACTTTTTAATTCGACACGTCGTGGGAGCTGTACTGAGCATCACAAATGTAGAATTGTTAACTACGAAACTTCCTATTTTGTTTCCTTTACGAATGAAATATAAAAAATGGGACCCTATGGATGCTACAGAAATCACACCTTAATTTTTGTGACAAAAAAGGCAGTACAAAAAATAGATGGAAACATAAATTCTTCAGAGATCTAAGTAGTACAAAGAATAAACTTTGATTTGAGCCTACAGTCTTTGTTTGGCGTGACGAGAAACACGTTCCAAAATAGAGTTTTCTACAATGCAGTCGTGTCTGTAACTCGTGTATCGGACCGTAATATTTACATAACAGCATTTTATCGCCGCACGCCCGGCTGGCGCTGGGGCTGAGTCAGAGTCTGTTTCTGGACAGCGACGCGTTCAGATGTGGCATGCCGTGCTCCATTGGAACTGTTGAAGCAGTCGAGTCAGGTGGCGGTAACAGAAACGCTGTAACAGAAAATGTCGAGTACCGCTTGATTGTGCCTAAGCTGCATGGTGGACGCTCTGTTTTGAACAATTTTCGTGCATGGTAGTGCACAAGCAGGGCATTTTTGAAGGGAAGACTTCAGAGACGCGTTGAACCATTTGGGTCTGTACCCTAAAGTGGTCGTCTTGAGTGTCTATCAGATGAAGCACATGTGGGCAGTTATCTTCAGAAGAGACGAAGGGACAAACAGGCTTCTTGCAGCAGCGACGTTCAAGCGAAAGGTCGAAGTTGTGTCGTCATTGACCCGACATTTATCTCCGCAACAAAGTACACCTGCTCCTGCACAACACAGCCGACTATGACCTGAGGTTGGCGTTACTGCCCTATGGCAGTGTCACAGACATCACTCGTGAGTGATGGCGTTTAATTGCCGTTAGATAGAAGGGGTCAATAACGAGAACCGGTACTACGAAGCTTAAAAGCGGCATCAACATCGAGGATATTCCCCATAAATTGCGAGTTGCTGGTGAACAAGCTTTTGTGGTCGTCCTGGGCAGAGCTCTACTGTGCCTGTGATGTGTAAATACTATCCATATTCGCCGAGATTGTCGTGTACCGTGGTGCATGCAGTCTTGGTGCGACAGCCAAGCAGACATCATCTGCGATCGAACGTACGCCAGTGTTACTGCACCTGCGGGGACAATGGCGAGTGAAGGCACTGCAGAGCTCATCACGGACAAGGCGAATGCCGAGTAGGTCGCTCGCAGCACGCCCAGTCCTGCAGGCACACATGACACGGTGCGCTGCGCCGCTAGAGTTTCCCTTACTTTCCAAACAGAAAAAGAGTGCATGGTAATTGACAATGGGCCTACTTCGGTACCTGTGACAGCAACGCCAACAGCAAAATCAAGTAAGGTAACGGAGGAAGCGACCGGAAAGAATTTGCGAGCGAATTAATTGGTGATTAAAACTTCCAGCGGCACAACAGGCAAACGATCATGGGAAGACTTGGAAGACAGAGGCGCTGCAGGAGACGCTGACGTCGAAGATCCAACATCTAAAGCACTACCGACGGGTCAATCGGCATTGCGCCCATCGTCTACTATCCCACCGGACAGGCGTCCGGCAGCGTCATCGTCTTGGTAGCATCGACGGCATGTCTACGTATGGGGAACGAGCCGAGTGGCTGATAGGCTAAGCTTCACTGAGTTGCGGAGGTGAGCATGCTGCTCCCAATCTCATTCGACCACATACCATGGCTACGGAAATGCTTTTCGCGTTTTGCTTCGCATAACGTACGGGATCTCCCTAGCAGAAATGAACAGAATCAACTGAATCGACTAGCTTTAGAGCGAGATCTCGACGTTATAGCCGTAGAAGAAATCATAGTGGAGGAAAGACAAGAGACTGGGAGCTTAGGTGGGGCTCTTTATTTCATCGTGCAGTGTTGTATAAGTCATGCCAATGGTTCCTCAGCCGGTGTTCCATTACTTGTCTGCCAGATACAGGGTCAGGTTGTTGAACTTGTTACATCTAGATTATCGGGGAGGTTTGTATACGTGACTTCAAGCACGTTTCTTCTACGTTTCTTCTAAATGGCGCGTGATGACTGTTTATCTACCTAATGTGCAATCCGAAAGGTGTGATTTCTTTCAATACATAGATAAATCTTGTGATACTGACAGGAAGGTCGTAATAATTGAACACTTTAACTGTGTGCTTACTGCACATGACGAGACCAGCAGTGCACCATATAGGAATCTGAGTACGGTAGCCCTTAGCAGTACTGCAGACCGATATAGCCTCAAATATGGGGCGGAATGACTGGATACAACGCAAAGCATTCCTTTTACACACTTTCAGAATTCAAGTCACGCTCATCTGAACAGAACCTATGTAACGGTGAGTATAATACCAATGTGCTAAAAATATGTAGTCGCACCAGTCTTCTTTTACGGATCACTGCCTAATCAGGTTTATTATTCGTTCTGGCGGCACTATACAAAGTATGGTTTCCTGAGACCTTCAGAAGCTGAATTCGCAGCTACTGGCGGGCGACATCCATAACGTGAAGCTACTAGAGCGTGACAGCGAAATTAACGAAAGCAGCGCAATAATTATTAGTGCCTTGTGGGAATACATTAAAAGTAATGTTAAGATGGTGGCGTTGGAAAAAGCCTGTGCAATTAGGCGAGTGAAGAGAATGAAACAATTTTACTGCATTGCTAAGAGAAGACGCAAAATACCCAGACACATTCGCGGAAGATATTCACAAAGCTAGGCATAACCTGGCAGTTTTTGACATTGGGCGTGATAGGCGGGAATAGTTCGAGCTCGGGTAGAAAAGTTCTTGGTTGGTGAAACACTAACAAAGCCGTCAGTGTGTGAAGAGAAGAGATATGCCCGCAAAAATACCATAGCGGAAATACATCATAATGGTGTCGTTTACACAGATAAAAAGGGAATACAAAACGTTTTTTTTTCTTTCTAACTACTATCAAGATACGTTCAAGCGATTGGAAGCTGACATAGGAACGTTTGAGAGAAATTTTTACCTTTGATGTCAAAAGTGACGGAAAGTCTTGTTATAGGGTTCGAACTGCCAATTTCAAATTTGGCAATTGAAACAGCTATTGAAGGGCTTAAACCAGGAAATTCACTTCGACCAGATGGGTTGAGTGTGACATTTTAAATAACGTTTAGGTCCAATGTTTGACCAATTTCAACTTGTCTTTTCTATGGAGGCTACAAGTATAAGGTGTTGCCTCCCAGCTTTCTGATCGCATGCAGCATTTTACTCCCGCAAACGGAACACAAAACTAAGCTCTGCTTTATAAAATTGTATTGTCTCTTAGCTCAACAAATTAGATTACAAGAGTTTCATTAAAATATAATGTAAGTGATTACAGGGTACAGTAGAAGAAATATTAGGTCTACATCAGACATGTGAAATCAAAGCACGCACAATTGTGACCAATGTATGTAAGGCCAGAGCTATTCCGCAGTGCTGCGATGCGACTAATACTTGTGTAGCAATGCTTCAGTTGGCTTTAGAAAAAGCTTTTGGTATTGTGTCACATGGTGTTCTACTGATAGATATGTAGGGTTTGACATCCCAAAACCACCATATGTATATGAAAGGTGCCGTAGTGGAGGGCTCCTGAAATTTCGACCACCTAGTGTTCTTTAACGTACACTTAAATCTGAGCACATGGGCCTACATTTCCGCCTCCATCGGAAATGCAGCCGCCGCAGCCGGGACTCGAACCCGTGACCTGCGGGACAGCAACCGAGTACCGTAACCACTAGACAACCGCGGTGGAGCTCTCACATGATGTTCTGATGAGGGTCTTAGATTTTGTAAACGTAGTCTGTTTAGGGGTTAATTATAGCATATAAGGGCATATAACGAGACTATTGGACAATAAGCTGGTAGGAAAGTGCATGAACTTGCAGCGCTCCGTGTGTTAGGGCTGCTCTTATTAACCATTGATGTTCAGCCTTGTTTTTATAGCTTTCGTGTGAGTGTGATTAAGAGAAGTGCCGCTCGTGGATTCAAACTGCATGATAGTGAAGTACGATTACTTGAATATGCTCATGATATGGCATCTTTTTGTTCAGATTGCGACAGTGTTAACAAAGTAGCCAATATAGCAAAACAGTTTTGTACCACCAGTGGGAGTTTGATAATCTGGAAAAAATGCTTGAGAAAATAACACACGGGAGTTTGCTTTCCACTTCAGACTACTTTGCCAACATGCAGTGAGTGAATCAGCCTTCGAAATGTGTAGGTGAGCCACTAGAATTTTATTGCGACAGTGAGCCGTATTGGCGGTGGGAAGCCACTGAACTGCGTGCAAACTTGCATTAAGGTAAAAAATGGCACTTTTCAATTTTCACGTGGGCCACTATATGTAATCTTTCCTTTGTCTTCAAACTTTAGTACGCAATACAGGTTTTGCATTGCTCACGTATAAACATTGCAGAAGCTGCACCGTATGTTTTGAGTATCTATATCGGGATCGGGATCAATGTCCGAACGGTCTAGTCGACTAATCTTTTTCGCCGGTATGTGTTCGGTAGTCTCAGTTAGGCACATTTGTTTTTAGGAAAGGTCGTGAGTTGTTTTATGTTTCTCCTAGACACAAGAGACCCGTTTCTACGTGCAGTTATTCAGCTGAGGCTTGGAAGAGGTCTACCTTCACTCGGTGTCAACTCGTACCACGTGCCTAGCACGCTCTATGGTTATATGAAAGAAGCCGTCGGTGCATTTAATTATTTACTGGCTTGTTTTTCTAGCAAATATCTAGCGAGAGTAAAGACTGTTGCACATCAGCGACTAGCAGCGGTTGCGCGACCATTTGCGACTTACGACCAAAAAGCGACTGGTGTTCACACCGGCAGAGGTTGCATGCGAGCGACCGCAAATCGCAATAGCGAATAGTCACGTTCGGATCTCGTTATCAGTGAGAACTCTGGAGACCGGCGTCGATCGGCTGATCGCCGCCAGCTGAGTGAGTGGAGCGAATCTAGTGCACCGCATTTTTTGTTTTTGTCATTCTCGCCAGTGCAATAAAAAAAACAAAAATTGAGCATCGCTGATTGGTTACAGCTGCTTTGCGACCGCAGTCACGTGACTGAAAAATCGGTCAGAAAGCGACTAGCCAAAGCTGTCGCTTTGCGACCATTTCCGACCAGTCACAAATGGTCGCGAGACCGCTGCTAGTCGACGGTGTGCACCACCCTTTAAACAAAGACGGTTTTCTAGGGGGGCTATGCAGAATGACGTGAGCATTGGGGTAGACGGTTTAGCTCCGAGATCGCTCAGTGGTGGCCATGACATGAAGACAGTGCGAAGCGTGTGATAGCAGCGTTTATAAAAATGTCTAGAGTAACGCGCTTGACGTGACAGCGCATCTGGGACATTTGCGACGGTTATCAGAAGCACCGCGTGCGAACACGTCAGCACCACTACTCAGTGAACATTTTAACAGTGCAGTTACGTTAACGTGATTGTCACGGTATTTTCCTGCCAACTCAACAAGTGCCTCCAAAGGTGTGTTCATGGGCTTGCAAGTGGTTCTTAATAAAGAGAAAGAAAGTGAAAAGTGAGCCCCGTTATTGTCTGCTTCAGTGAGTGACACCGCCACAGGGCTCACAAGGGATGGGGGTGAGGAGGGATAAAAAGGGTAGAAGTAAAGGTATAGAAAAGAGGAAGAAGAAGCAACAACAAACTGAGAGGATAGGAGGGACAGGAAAGATGGAAGCACGGTCACTGGAGTCCGAGGACGGGGTACACTTGCGAGAGATGTTTTCGGCGTCTGTAGATCGCGTAGAGATGGTCCAGTAAGTCAGAGCTTCACTGTCGTCGAAAGTCGTTGGCGGCAGTTAGTGACGTAGGGCGAGCCCAGTCGGCCAGAGCTACGGTGACGCCGAAGGTCGCAAGCGCACGGAGCGCGCGCGGCGCACAACCGGTCCGCACGAAATCCAGCGAGCGAGTGCGTTCATGGGCTTATGTCCCTCTTTGGACAAGTTCTTTGGTTTCACCTGCAACATGAACATTTCCACTCTCGAAGGCAGTAGGGCGCACGCGCAGCACTTTCGCGCTGCTCGTTTCGCTTCTATCAACTACTGGAGATAAATATAAAAATAGGTGGTCATCAGGGGCGTTCGTATCATGGCGGCAACGCGGCTGTAATTGGCCACGTCATGGGCGCAGCGAAATTGAATGCGAGACATTGTAGCCACGTGGTGACATTATTTTACTTCTGCGTGTGTGTGTTTGTGCATACTCTGCGCAATAAACCTGATAGATTGATTGTGCTGGTCCGCGTGAGAACTGCTCCTCGGCACGAGCAAACATTGTGGGCGGACCCTAGCTATGCCGCAAGCGTCTAACAATTAAACTGACGCGTAAACTCGGATACAAACTCATTGATTTTGAGGAGGCCCAAGTAAACTCACGACTGTGATGGTTACGGTCAAGCGTTTGATGCAGTGAACGCCCAGCAGTAGCTTTTTTGTATATAAAATAATTTGGCGAGCTTACACTACTTGTGCAACGCTGGAGCCTTAGACGAGCTTGTGATAACTTAGCTTCTTGCAGCTTTTAAAGTTGGTCGTAGACCTATGCATGTGCTCAGCTTAGCATAAATATTGTCACGTTCATTACCATAGTTTAGATAGATCATCAACCAGAATGCCGTAGTTAGCCTGGTTCTAGCTTTGCATGAATTCATCAGCGCGGCCTTTAAGATTTAAGGTAATTTAATTGGCTATAGCACGTCCTGGCCTAACTGGCCAGGTATACTGTCGAGCCAGATACCTAACTAGCCGGCCGAACGTGCTCGGGTGCCAGCGGCCGATGACGACAAAGACGACGTGCACTGGCCGAGCAGTGCGCTAGACCGTACAGGCCGACCATGATTACCACGTCACCTCAGGTTTCTCTGCAATCGAGATGTTGTAAGACGCTCGGGCAGTACTTATCTAAGAGGCTACCGCGCCGAGTATACTAAAACGAATTTCGTGCAAGAATTGAAAGCTTAAAAAGAAATTTAAACACCCCATGCCTCTAAACAATATCATAAAAAAAATGTCTGACACTTTTATTGCACGTGTTCACTCACTCAGTGGACCGAGAAACAAATGAAAGAAGATGCCTCTGGTTTAAAACACTGCCCAACTTAGTCGACTGTCCTTGCCACAATAACTGCTTTAATCCTAACCAATGAAACGCAGCACACTGAGGGGTGGATTAGACTTTTTTCATACTGTTGGCTCTTTTGTAGGAAGGTGTCGCAAGAGCTCGGAAATATCCCGCGTTTCGCGAAACATGGCCCATACTGCACAACACCCTAGTAAACCTTCTCGACATTGTTTTACCGGCACCACTTTACGGT